TGTCAAAAAGTACAATAAAAACAAAAAATCCCCAGTGCATATTTGTGGCAGAGATAGGCCTCATTCTCTTATCCGAGTTGTTCTTTTCCCAAAGTTGTTTCCATGTACAGATTTCTCCCTGCTACGGGAAGACCTTGTGAGCTCCTTGTGCCTGCACATTTTCTGTAACACTTCTGAGCTGTTAAATCTGAAATCAGAAATACACTCCTTAAAGGCTGGCAATTCTGTTATATTTTTTGTGTTATTTCAGGTATTCAGATGCTATGCAACATCAGCTACTTCCATAGAGAGCTAATCAAACTCATTAAGCTTAATAAAAACAAGTCAAATATTAAGTCACTGTGGAATACACATTCCTTTGCTTCAATGCATGAATAAGTCTGAAAGGAACAGGCTGCTACAATCAAAATAATAAATATAACCACCAGCAGTTTTCCAGAGAAGAAAATATAGCAAAGCAGTGTAGGCTTAGAAACGTTGATTAAAAGGTGAAAGGAAACCAAATGAAGAACAACTTTACATCTTATCTTTAACATCATATAGTGTGGAATTTATAAGTAAACTTAATTAAAGAACACATACAGAATGATCAGACTTCAGTCACGACAGCAAAAAGTTCCTGCGGTGCTTATAAATTCAAAGTTGTAGGTTTTTTTTTTTCTTTTTTTTCTCCATCAAAACAGAAACTCCTGTAAGGCTTCAGCTAGGGAAAGAAAGTGATTTATTTCCTTTTTTAATGCCAAAGCAATTTGTGTAAGGTGAAACAGTCATAGTGGGAGCATTTTACACAGCGTAGATAACTAACCCACATCAAACCCTGACGAGGTGGTACGAGGTATTATCTTACGTAGATATCAGCCAAAAAAACCTTAGCCAGATAGGCCTGCACGCATGTATTTGTTTGTTTCCCTAAAAAGTTACACAGCAGCATTTTACCTCATTTTACCATTGATCCAACTCTGAGACAAACCAACGCATATAATTCCTATTTTGACTCACCTGGCAGGGGTCCTACCTACTTATGCTGTATGAGGTAGTGACCTTTATCTCTTCCCTTGTCTTCGAAAAGCATTGCACACCATAGGTCACGGCAGCAGATGCTACTGGAGTGGCATGCCCTACTCATGAGGTCTCATAAAGCGACAACAACAAGACAGATGTCCCCTCTGACTGCCCATCTCCACCAGTCCAGCACCATACCCAGTCTAGTCCACATGAATATACATGTTGCTTGTATTTGCTGTCTGCAGAGCAGGGTGGGGCTAATCTTTCTGTCCAGCTTCCACATGAAATGTCTCCCTTAAAATGCCCCTAGCACCTCACAGAATAAAACCAGCTTCACGATGAAATTTGAGCTACCGAAACACCAATTTCCTTTTCCATGAACAAGCAGATTTCAGGTTTTGCTGCAGCAAGTGAAAATGACAGTCTTTCTTGTGCATACAAGCAAGTTTACTGTAACATGGCTTCAAACATTGGCCAAAATTTTATTTGCCTACTTTTAAAAATAGTTTATATAATACAAGGAAAAATGATACTGAGAAAAAAAAAAAGTGGTGATTACTGAAGCCGCAGGGACCTTACAATTTCTCTCCCCCTCATAACTCAGAAAGTTCTGCAGTCTTCTCTGTTCAGATGATATCCACAGGGACAGCTCCACTGAACCTAGATCAGCCACTGAATGTCACATTAAAAACAAGGCACAGAAAAAATATGAGAAAAAAGCAATGCTCATAAGTATACATTATTTAAAATGCTGTGTAGCTATGCTGTACATCTAATTAAAGTGCGTGATCAAGCCCGTGATATCTACTAATCAGAAGAGAATGTGTGAGAGAAAGCTTTTTCAGCTGTATACTCCGAGTTTTTTTTAACTCTTCTGGATGATAGTGAAAAAAGAATATTGTGGTTAATACATATAATAGATTACTTATTTATATGCTAACAGTTGCTTCCAAGAATAAGGGCAGGGAATCTCTTTCTACTTTTATTGAAGGGAAATCATCATAAATTTATGACCAAATTATTTAAGAACCACAATAAGACCTAGAAATTACCTTTAAATAGCAAAGCAATCTAGATATTTGCTAAAGAATCTATGTTTGCTGTAATTTGTATTTGCATTTGCATTTGTGTGTGTGATACATTTGTATTTGTTATATATTGAGAGTCAGGTAAAGTCTGAAAATGTGTTAAATATCTTTTAGAAAGAAACGTGGATTTAAAATTCTTATTTCAAAAGAAATGAACATACATATTGCTAAAGCTGCTATTAACAGCACAGTTTGCACCTCCAATAACTTCACATTGTCAATAACTGAAAGAAACAGAGCAACTGCTTTAAAAAAACTATGGCCAAACTTTGCATTCCTATTAACTGCAGCACCCTGGTTATATTCTGTCTTGTAATTTGTACTGTTTTATACACCAGGAAAAATAAAAGTGCTACATTATAGATGGAGCAGAAATTCTGGTTTGTTTGGTACTATATATTACTTTGCATAGGTGAGAGCACAGCAGGACAGTCAGATTTCTTCAGGTCTGTCAGGACACTTGTGATATTAGGGATACTTCATTAGATAAAAAGGATCAACATCTATTCAGGTTTTGGATAAAATAAGTGGTTTTAGTTCTTAATTTTTCATTCAATTTCCATAATGTACGACCTATATATGTTACTAGAAAAATAATTTTTAAAATATGTGATTTGCCCCAGAGCTTCATTGAGGGTTTGATTACCTAGAAACTTTTACTGTTTTAACATTTACTGTTACATGAGACCACCAATTTAAAGGTAAGAAAATAACTACTTTAATTGTCTAAGCACAAAATATTTCTAGAACTGTGGTTTATTAAATTGTAGTACAATATCGTCTGCAGCAAAGTGCTTCATTCTTCGATTGAGATGTACCAGTGAAATATATCATTTATAGCATGCTCCCAGGTTATCTGGGAGAAAAAAAAGAAAATGCTGTATTTTAGAGCAGAATTTTCCCTCCTTCCCACCTACAACAGCATTCCTGTGATGAATAAAAATAAATCAGAACAATGTGTTCATGAGTAATGAATGATCAAAAAGCTCACTAGAGCAGGAATATGGATTGAGATCACTGATGTAAGGCTCAGTGCTACACAGATAGGAGTCTAATATTCATTGCTTCCTTTAGGTGTTTTATTTCAACCTTCTGATCACCTGTTCTGTTTATAGTAATCCAAGCTTTATCTAATAAATAGCATTTTTTTCTACCCAATTATTTCTATCTAATAGCATTTTTGATTGACTAAGCTGATTGTTGCTTTCTTTTTTCTTCTTCAATTTTTCATTTCCATTGTCATCTTGGTGGGAATTGCACAGTGCTATGTGGGACTCACATAAAGAGGCAAAATTTCCATTAACTTCTGTTAAGCCTGATTTTCACTAAATTGGTCTAACTTTCTGTGACAGTCTGGCACTGAAACATTACACTTCTCCCTCTGATGTGTATGTCCCTTTTCCATTAATGTAATTAAGGTAAATGGATGTGATGTCACGATCTAAAAGACAGGTTCTCTACTGGCAAAACTCTAGAGACTTTCTAGTGTCGACGTATTTCCCATGTAGCTCTAGAGCAATTCGTGGGCTTTATCCAAAGTCCATTGGAAAAAAATGGAAAATCTCCAGTAAATTTAAGAATTTTGGACTATGCCCTGTAAGATTATTCTTATTATTACAAAAATACCTGTGTGGAGAAAGGAAAAAAATAGAGTGCTAATACTCATACAAGTGAATGAGAAATCATGACCCAACAGCAGTGTCAGATCACAACAACCTCCATGCAGTTTCTGTAGAAAGGTGTAGGTTGAAGAATTTTTAATTCTACTTCCAGTGCCTTGATGTAAAAAGAGTATGGTCCAAGGAAACAGATGGAAAAACATTTATGACAGCTTAAGTGCTGTTAATTATTTGTAGGCGAAGCATTCTGCTATCAGCATTGACTTGCTTTATTTGAAACCAAAACAGTCACAGCAGCAATGGCTTTATCCAGCATTGCTGTAATTACCTGACTATAAATAGGACAGGTAGAAGCACAGAGCAACACTTCACCAACGGGGCTGCCTTTCAAGCATCTACCCCTTTTGCAAGCAGCTTGTTCAGATTTCATCCACTCACATTTTGTTGTTCTCCTACCCTTTTCCTTTACATGTATTCAACAGTCATAGAAAAAAAAGAGAGTATTGTATGTATGGAAAGATTTCACAAGCTAGGTGTTCTACAGATGGTACAAATGAAGACAGTGAATAATCATTTAAATGTGCACTTAACTGCACACCTGTTCAAGGGAGCAAAGGGAAATGACATGTTTTCTTATGATCTTTGTGTGGTTTGTCTGTATCACCAAAGCATGTGAGAGAAGCAAACTGCTGCTCCTAAGCAATGGCATTTACCTTTCAAGAAGAGATGGGAAGTGATCAGACTTGGGAAGGAAATCCGTAGCTTCCACCCACCAAGGAGGAACTGGAGACAAAAGGGGTAGCAGAGATTATTTCTCCCCTAAAAACATGACACTGGGAAGAGACCACTTTGTGTATGAAAATCACAGCATTTTTTTTCTGTTCTTCACTACTGCCTCTACTTCCCTGCAGCAATACTTCCCTGTTTTCAGTCAAAGTGCACTCAGCTTGTGTTTAGCCAGCAAGATGTCCATTTATTAAGAGGGCAATCCATACCTTTTCTCTCTTAATTTTCCTTCCTCTATTCATGCTTCTCTTATAATACGTATGGCAAGCCTATCAGCTAAAATGACAAATCTGGTCTTGAAAATATCTACTACACATGGATATAACTGTTGAGAGAGGCCAGACCCCACAGATGCAACACAGAAGAATATAGGGTAAATTTCTGGACCTTTTACAACACTGATACACTTCCTATTACAGAAAAGGGCTATTTAATTTAAAAACAAACAAAGAAACCCCCTTTTTTTTTTTTTTTTTTTTTTTTTTTTTTTTTGTACCTGTTGATAAATCCACGGCTTCAATCCCGTCATTGTAAGAAAATGATTAATCTAGATACCACTGTGAATACAATATTGCAGTCTACTTGTCACAACAGCAGCACCGCCACATAATGATTTTGTGCTGTACTACAACCAAGTGCTGTTGGTGTTGGTCTGTTGGGGTAATCTAGCAAGATGCTGCAACCTGACTGGGTAACAACACTGAGCAATGAACACACTGAGGGCTGTATCTTACTCTGCTGTCTGTGAGGCACACAGTATCAGCAACTTCTTTATACTGTCATACACCTTGGACACTTACTACTTTTGAGTTCTGGGTTGGAGATAACAGCTTTACATTTACCACATACTCTAATTAATGTTTTTGCAACTTTCATTTGTTATTTCTGCTCAGTATTTCTGCTTCACTAAATTCCAGGAAAGGGAAAGTATTCTCATATTAGATGATTTTTCCATTGACTTAAATTTAAATTTTTCTTTAAGAGAAACAAAGTGTTATTAAGAACAGTGGGATTTCTTTTTTTGAACAAGGATTTCTGTTAAAAAATGAGAAAGTTAGCTTTCATTGTCTTTTCATAGCAAGGATGAAATGGGGTAAGACATTCAGAATTCTCTGAACAGCTTTCATTATCCGCTCTTAGGCAAAATTAATTTGACTGGAAAGACAGTAGAGAAATCTTATAAAGAAGACATGGAGAATGGAGAGCTTTTCTATGGGAGGATGAAAGAAGAGACAGATCACTTCTAACCAAATAGAGGCTGAAAAGGACTGTTCTCCCTGTGCATCAGGGTGTTAAATGTCATGAGATAAGGGGTATTTAGACTAATGTTGGCTCAAAAGCAAATGGATGAATTATGCAAGAACAAGTGTTAAGCTGGAAATGAAGAAAAACTTGTGATTATGAGAGCAGCAAGATCCTGGAAACACTGACAGCAGTAGTGGGATCAAACCAACTATTCTGCTTTCAAGTGATGATTGAGAAGTATTGATGAGGTTGCCTGAAACAGAGAATTTGTTCTGAGTGACCTAGCAGGTCCGTTCAAGCAGTATGCCTTTGCAGTCATCTGAAGCCACATTCAGAAGACCTGTGAATGCAAGTGCCTCTTTGTGTACAAAGGCAAGGATTAGATAATAATGCCAGTTACAAAAACTCACAGAGCCCTGTAGACAATCAACTGATCTGCTAGTGATCTAGTTCATGCCTAAAGCTCAGGATTTGAAAATTGTCTTTTCCTGCAAAACCTGATCATAATTTCACCCATTCAGCCTCACAAAAACACACCAGGACTTTTCATGAAACTGACTTTAAAGCATATATCTAGAATGTAGAAAAGCTGACTTCAGTTTTTTCTACCCCTGATGCATTCTGGAAAGATTCAGTCACCTACTCAGATTTGAGAGCTTTATAAGGTAGCGAGATGCTTAGAAGTTATCACTGTGATGCTGGTTTTCTCTTGTGAAGTTAGCTCCTATACTTCTGCAGAACAAGGTGCTTAAAGTTATAGTATGTACAAAAGAAATTCAGTTAAAGACAAACTACAGCTTTTGATCAATTTTGCATTAATTATATCATGGCAACAGAACTTTATCAGAGTTAGCTGTGTAATGACCCTGCAAAGTTTCTTAGCTCAAGTACACTCCAAGCAAACACAGCCATACAGATTGCAAGGTCAATGTGATTTCAAGAGCATACTTAGCCACTTCTGTAGTGTGTGCAATCCAAACTCATGAACCATCAAGTTCAAATTAGCTTCCTAAGTAACCTGAATTGGCAGCCTTGTTGTGTGCTTCCCAGAAGTGGGAATGCTAGGTTGTAAGAAGTTAAACTTCATACAGCAAGACTTATTGGCTATGTCTGTACTGATAAATTAAAGAATGTCTGTGTTTGGAACAAGTTGATCTTCTAAATATTGTTAGAATGACCCCAATATACTTCTTACACAAGCCAGTTAGCACTATTGCAGGCAATGCCCAGGAGTTGGCATGGGCCACAAGCAGACAGTTTTTAATTCACCAACAGTACTTTGCAGGCTAAAAGAATTTAATTTTGTTACCATAGTCTGATTACACCAACAAAAACCTTGTCACTGTATGCATACAGTAACTCCAGCACCATTTTGACCTTGCCAGACATGAGATTACTGCATTCAGCCATTGCTTCTCCACCATGCTCTAGAACAGGTTTTGTTAGTACAGGGATGGTGCTGAATATGTGAGACCGGACCTCTCCTTCTGAAATCCCATGCCCAAAGTTCTAAAGAACAATCTGTTGGATCTCAATACCCAGAACAAATTTGGGAGGGTGAACAATGAGCTAGTGCTAACAAGACTGTCTGTAACCAAGCTGTTTCCATACAGATGGGCCTCTTTGCACACTCTGCATCTCTGCTAGTAACATGTTTTATTACCTCATTGACAATGCAAGACCCAAGCAGTTTTTGTGCGTGTGGTGGTGGTACTAGTCTTATTAGTCTTAGCAGCAGTTCTAGACATATAATGCTCCTGACCTGTTAAATCAAACAGATAAACCTAAAATATGAATAGATTGTGTTTATATAGATGTTCATTTGTATACACATATATATGAAGATATACAACACATATATAGACAAATATAAATTATATGGTAAAATAATAATAATAAAAAAAAACTTTTAAATTATAAAAAAGAAAAACTTCCAATACCCACCTAGTATGAGACAAAAACATTTTGTGCCTTAGTTTTAGCTTAAATTTGACAGCAGAAATAAAGCTGCACAATAGAATTACAGCCCATGATCACCTGCTCCAGCATTTTGTTATCCAGCATTCTAAAGATAACATTTACATTACAATCCTCTTTAACATATGCAGCTTTTATCAGTCTTTTTTGCAGTAAGAGGAACACTACTCTGGTGAGTGCTTGACATACTTAGGTCAATCTCAATGCATTTACATATATTACTGTGCTATTGATTCATCAGGAATGAAATACAGAAACATACTGGACAGTTATCTACAGAAATAGCATATCATTATAAACAGAACACTGTAATTTCTAAATTCTTCTGTTATTTTTGTTATGGCTGGAAAAAAAAAAAAAAAAGAAAAACACCTGTAAACGATTTCCCAAGATCCAATATCCCTGTTTGAGTAATGTCACAAGAACATCCCTGCAGAATGGGCACACATCTTATCTGAATTCGTCAATGCTCATTTTCAGAACATATTGTGTAGCTGTTCTTGCTGTGTATGATGATCTTGACCTCTGCTTCCTCAGAACAGAACAGTCATTAAAAGCAAAAACAACAACAACAAAACTTTGCTCCCTGGAAGACAGTAGGGGCTACAGTTTATGATGACTGCATTTAGCTGAGTAGCATTATCCCTGAAGAGGTGAATAGTTCTGTAACTCAGCCCACCTTGTTGCATTTTTTGGTTTTGCTTGGGTTTTGAAAGCCATTTACTGCAACACACTGAGAAACAAAAGATAAACACAGTTAACTCAGCCATTCTTCATGGTACTCTGCTTCTTCTGGATCTCTCTTTCACATACTTTATTTACTTCTTGGGTTCAAAGTCTTCCTCTATTTTTTTTCCTTTTTTTTTTTTTTCTCATGCATCACTTGGTTCACTCACCCTTGTACCTCCACAGCCTTTGTTGTTTTCAGTCTTCAATGATGGTATTTCAGTTAAGAGCTCACCAAAGTGTAGATCATGCTGAATGTAAAAGAAAGACACAATATGAAAGTATCCTTTTGAGGCATACAGAGCACTTTGATTTTTATAACTCTTTACTGTCTGTTCCTCAGGTCTGACTGTAATGGCCTATGCCTTCCTTTGCATTACTTCCATCTCTCTAGAGCATCTTAATTATGGTGCATTCAAGATGGGTATCAAAAAGCTCTCAAGAAATAACAAATTCATTAGTGACATCCTACTGCACCACAAGCTGTGTTTGAGCTTATTAAAGTGTGGTCTGATGTCTGAATTTGAACAGTGGAGAAACAAAACCATTTTGCTTTAGCACATTTGATCTTTAGAACTTCAACCAGCAACTCTCAGCAGGGCAGGTATGGTTTCCCATGAAACTAGACTGTTTTCTTTCCATAGGAAAAATTCTATGCAGTAGAACAAAAAAAATGCAGACACTAGCTGGAGTGAATACATAGCTGTTAAGGGCAACTTTGAAAAGTGAAGAATTCATAGTGTTTTTACTACAGTTCTAATTTTCTTAATTCTCAGAAAAGCACAGCAAAAGTGAATATAATTAATACTTTTTTATTTAGGACCAGGCGGTGACCTTTGGCTTATGTAGTCACATTCCAGAACAAAGGGAAGCACAGCTCAGCACAATAATTTAGTCCCAGCAGAAATGCTAGATGACACCGCACAGCTGTCTTTGATAAGAGTCTTTTAGCCTACAGAACATGGGGTTAAAATGCTCCTTCCTCTATTCATGCCTCGCCATCTCTTCTTGCCTCTGCGAAGAGGTCTGGCAGGCAAAGACACTCAGCCCAAACACACAGAGCTACTGTATGCAAAACTCCTGCTTAGATCCTAATGCCCCATCCATCTCAGTGTGAGTTAGGCACCTATCAGATTCTGTGGGTCTGGTCCCTTCTACCTTCTTTTTTCCCCTCCCACATATGCACGCACACACACATACATGTGCATATGTGGCCAGAAAACTCTGTTGTCAGTGGTATTTAAAAGTAACATTGAGAAACATCAACCTGCAGCAATGACTCCTGAAGGTAAGATGAACAACAGAACAAATAACAGACCAGTGATCAAAGGAGAAGTGACATTTATCTTTTTCCACCAGTGTACAAACCTACCATATAGAAGGACTACTGCACACAGTTCTGGCTTGAAGAGGTGTTCTATGCAAATACATTATTAAAGGAGTAGAAAAAAGGCATCTTAAAAACAACACCTCCATCTAAATTGTGTTATTCTTTGTTGTCAAGTAGTTGTATGGTGTGATTACAGGGGTGACTAAAAGCACAGGAATTCTACCAAAGGTCTTAAATACGTTCCTCACATAGTCTTCCACTGGACATTTGCAACTGTGCATTAAGGACATCTGACAACTAAAAGGGGTAGGGGAATGACTGGGGTGCAGATCTCCAAGAATGTCCTTCAAGAAGGGTTTTGCAGCACACACAGGCTTAACCTCATCATGAAAGGGAGGTCTGTAGGAATGACGGCAAGCATGGTGCATCCAGCACTCCTACTCACCATCTACCTACTCGTTTGCTTACTGTCTTGAGCATCACTACGCAGGCAGCCTGTGAACTGCCTGTGAGAATATGCCTGGTGAACCTCACCTGTCAGACTCAGCACAGTCTGGAAGGCATGCTTCCAGCTGTACTGAACAGCCTGTGATGCAGCAATGGGAAATACAGTTTTCAGGTACTGCATTCAGACTGGCTTATAGAAACTGTGGGAAACACATCAGCAAATGCTCTGTGCTAAATTCTATGCTAACAAGCTGCGCCAGTGCACTGGTTAGCACAGGAGGACCTCATACTCTTTTGAAGTGTAAGAAAAAGAAAAATCACAACAGAGAAATTGATCCTAAAACTGTACATTATAATATTTATTTGATAAAATGTCATATCACAACACGTATTCTATCACACATCCTAAGAGACTATGCAGAAGAGCAAATTGTTTTTTCCCTTGGGTTGGTCCTTGGGCCTGGCTCAGGCTTGAGATAAATGCTTAATATTCTGTACTGAATTGTTCACAGATTTAAGTATGTGTTGCTGTAAGCGGGTATGCTTTCCTGAATCAAGATCAGAAGCAGTTTTGTAGAACTAAGGAAACAGGCCCATTTTTTTTCCATCCATTCCTAAATGCAATTTCACACATCAAATGAAAAGCAGCTGCTATTCCCTTAGTGAAATGACCAGACTTACCAGTAAAGATAGTAGAAGAAAGAAAGGAGATAGAAAGCTAGCTTACACCAGGCCTCTTTTTGACAGTAACTCAAGGTATCTGCATTCATGACTGCGGGTGGATCATATGCTAGTTCTGAACTATCTGCTGGGCAACGAAAATACCTGAAAGAGAAGGAGAAGACACCTGAAATGACTCTGTTACATGCTGAATTAAATATGTCCTGAATTAAATATGTCACTGTTCTGATCACCATCTCAGAAGAAAACAGTCTTCCAAGATACAGGAGGAACTTTCCTCTCTTTTTCAAGCCCCTGTTTCTGGACAGTGTTAAAATCAGGATACTAGTCTAAGCAGACTGTTCTTTCAGAACAAGTGATTCATGAATGCAGACTTTCTATACTCTGTTATTTTTTTAGATTGAAACATTCCCCCTGCCTATATAGTTCTTTCTGGCTTACTCACTCACTAGAAACTTACATATTGAGTGACAATATGTAGCAGTCTGTGATCACAGCATGGAGGAAAGATTACTGGGCTTTAACTGCATCTACACAACCGATTTCAGATATGATGGAAGGTGACAGCCTCAACCAATTTATAGCTCAGTTTCTCCAATTCTGAAAAGGCAAAAGGCAAAGTGGAGTAATATAAGAGTTGGCTGACTAGTGTTTTCTACACATAGCATTGCTTAAAAATATATTATCCAAATAATTCTTATTGCAAAATGTTTTTCTTCTTACATAGGAGAAACTTTTAATTATTCTCAGTAATGACTGGATGCTTGAGAAAATCACGATGAAATGTTTTTTTGTTAGTGGTGTTTGTGTTTTATTTGTGTGTGTTTTTTTTTTTTTTTTTTTTTTTTTTTAAAAGGAGTTTTTGTCTCAGTTACTTTGCAGCAAAAAGCAAAAGCAAGCCATAAAAAGAAAAGCCTGAACACAGTAAATGAACTGCTTTAAGGTTTGCACAGATCAGATGAAATACTGTTATTTCTATTGCTTTGAAATGGTAATTAACTACTGAAAATTGCTGGGATTGCTTACAGATGGATAAACAGATATACGAACAGATAAATATAAAATCCCCATACAAGTCACCAGCTGCAAACTTTGAAATCAAAAGTTCTCCTAATAACCTTGCCTTCCTCCTTTCTTCCTTTCTAAAATTTGTCACATCCACTTACAATCTCTAATAACACTGCAAAGCTTTTACGCTACAGATGAAATCCTTATTAATTATCTTCATTGGAATGAAGGTATTACACAATTATCTTCCCATGGTTTTGTGTAGAAATTTACACAATGAACCGAAAACTGTCTGTGGCTAAAACCGAAAAAAAAAAAAAAAAAAAAAAAAAAAGTGGTATTTATAGCAATACATATGGAGAACCACAGAAGTATATCCAAAGAAGCATATCCATTATTTCAAGTCTGACCATTTCCAGCTTGCACATAAAATAACTTTTTTTTTTTTTAATTTCAAAACAGTATTATTGTCACACTTCTGTTGTTAATCTTTGAAAAACACCATGAAACACTATTATTGCACCCAACAAAAAAGGATTCATAGCTTCATTAAGCTTTCTGAGAACTTATGCTGTCACTCTAACTTTGGGATGATACACCCCACCATACGATGGTGCATTACTACCAAGTTTTGCAGAAAACAGTGTAAAAAAGCTACTACTTTTCAGTTCCTAGCTAACATACTGGTACTGGCTTCTTTACAAAATTATTCTTCAAGCTACTTCACAACAGTAGTTGCTTCAAGAGTCTCTTAGAGAGCCTTCTCATGCAGAACATAAATTCTGTGCTATACAGCAAGAAGCAACTTACTTTATAATGCAAAAACATGTAAGGGTATCAGAGCAGATGAGAAGCAAAATTCTCTCAACTTTCCCAGTCTCTATACCATGAATCCAGTGGAAAGGTTTCCTTGCCAGGGCTGAATGAATAGGTACAAGATCTTTTGGACATGAACTGTCTTACAGCTCCTAGCCAGTGAAGCATTTAGTGCCTCACTGAGTTAAATTTCCAGACTCCAGCCTATTTCAGGTCAAGTTTTTATTTGGTTGTGGTGACGGCATCCTGACACCACTGGGAATATCTAAGTGGCTATTTAAATGTGGCTATTTAAAACCACATTTGTGTATTATGACTTTTCACATCTAATCATGCACAAAAATATATATATATATTTTTTTTTTCCTCTGGAAACTTTAGTCTTAGCTGCTTTTAGACAAACACTTTTAGGCCTTTCTCCTATCACTGCAATTCATAGTTCATACAATCGTCATGGGGGATGAGTTGGAAAATAAGGCTAACAAGCAGTCAGCATGTAAAGGGTGGGCTTACCTCCAGAAGTGATAAAAAAGCAGAGGAACATTTAACCCCAGTGTGAGCCATTCTTGGGCACACAAAAACATTATGCAGAAAAGGCTATGGATAGAGTACTCCGGCAACACCAGCTAAAAGGAACAGAAATAACAGATGTCAGTAAAACATCTCCATGATTTTACTCATTAGTTTTGTGGAAGACAAACCATCTCTGCAAATCTCCAGCGTGTCTGTCCCCAGACATACCTCAGCTGACAGACAGCGTAGCTAAGAGCAATAAGCATGAGGCACAGTGACAGGCTTGTCCTGGTTCTAATCCTGACTGTACACCAGGGGCTTGTTGAGAGGCATGGGACAAATCTTTTGCTGTCTTACCAGGTGCTCCACATTCCTGTCTACAGAACATCCATCATGTTACTGCCTACCTCACAGAAGCATTGTGAAACTAAGCGAGAACATTTCTATCAAAGAGGTCTTAAAGAGATAAGTTTTATTACTGATGCATTTGAAAAGAAAATAATTAAACCATTATTGAAGCTTCACATCTACATTGCAGGAGTATCCTTGGAAAAACAGAAGGCTGCTTCTACCTTTCTGATATGTTATAAACACCCTAAAGATATCAAATCCATTACGAGGTTAGTGTTGTGAGCTAAAACTCACTAAGACAGGAAACTCACTTCCTTGGTAAATCCATGGCTCCCCACACTACTTGTTTCAGACCAAGATGATTCTTTCTATTAAAAGAGAAAGTGAGTGGGCAGCTGGCAGAAACAGAAATTCATGTGATGTTGATTCAGAGTACTTATTTCTAAAGGCATCTTACTTTTTCCACTCTTTTCCCCTTTCTTATCTGGCTTTCTTCTGTAGTTTTCTACTGATGCCTTTTTCTCAGAAACCTGTTCTTTTATGTCTTTGTTCAAGTCATAAAAGAGACCAACTTACAGCATTATACATTTCTCAAAGCTAGACAATCCCATACACAGTGCATCTGCATCCCTTGCTGTGTCTTGAAGCCACAGCAGCCAAAGTTAAACCACAAAAAGCATTTGGCAGGCTTCTTTTGATGTCAATGTATTTTTGTCTGTCAAATGGTTAAAGTAAGCCCTGCTACTAAAAACAATGAAAAGCCCACTCTACAGCTAGTCCCAGCTCCTACCTACTCCTGTACAGCTGTGCTGCAATGAATTCAATGGTTTTAGGACTTCTTCCACTTCCCATGGAACACATTTTTTCACTTTCATTTACCTTCACTGCTTGAAGTAGTTAATACATTTGGATATCTCTATGTCTATGCCTTCCACTTAAACATTCTCAAAAGCTTATTTTATGGGCATGACAAATCATGATACAATTACATAGTGTAGATTCCAGATGGCAGTTATTTATCACTGCTGCATTTTTTTTCATTTTCAGAATGTGATTTACAACATGACTATAACCTTTACCAAGACAATGATTCATCCTTGCCACAAATTGCAGATAAGAAAGGTCTTAAAGTTGGATGTCTACCCACTAAGCATCATAGCACCTAAGAGCCTGTTACATCGTTATCACACACTTTTGATTTTGATTTTGATTTCTGATTCCAATACAGCCCACAAACTTAGCAAAAACATAACCCTGGTGTTTGATCAGGGGGCTGGCTGGTAATAACAGGGAAGGAAACCCATGGTGGAAATTTATGAGGAGGTTAAAAACAAAACAAAACAAAACAAAAATTCAGCTGTGAAGCTAGAAATAAAAGAGGGGAAGCAGTGGAGAACAGACTCACTTTCCAGTCACAGTTTCCAGTGTCTATGAAATCTACCTGTACTTTTGACAGAATAACAAATTGGTCATTTTGTCACCCTTGTCTTGGAGTGATATTTTTGCATGGACATAAATAAATACAGGATCAATGCTGATCACAGTTTCTGAAGAGAAATCATGGAAAAAAGCCATCAAACACCAGCCTGCAAGCCAATTATAGTTTATATTCAAGTGATTTAGCCAAGAAACTAAATCTGAAAGCAAGGGAAAGTGAAAGCATAAAGCTTATAAAGACACTAACAGCAAGGCTTGTGAGGAATAGTAAGCTGAATAGATGAATAACTACAAAACCAAAAAACACCCAGACCAACAGTGCCTTAGTTCTTGGCTGGAAGGATTATCCTGCAGTTCGACCCAAATGTCCTCTGAAATGGAAACTTTCAGTCAACTTTAGCAAATACGAGATTCAGCTCCTGGAGGGAAGGAAGGTGGTTTAGAAATAAGCAACAGTCAATCCTTATCATTTCTGCCAAGGTGGTCCATTACAATAGAAATTTATGTGATATGCAGAGCAGTGCAACAGGAATCAAGATCTTTTATTCATTTCTGGGACAGCATATGAAATTGTCAGATGGTAAATATGTTACGATATAAACAGTATGATTCTATTTTGAACCAGGAACACTCTGATTCAGATAACAAACTGCTTTTTGACACAGGTCAAGATAAAGTCTGCAGACAGCTACAGAATACAGAGTTGGAGGGGAAACTGGCAAAAAAAGACTAGTTCTCAAAAGCTGCAATTTGGTCACCTTGAGCCCCAAGCTAATGAATGGCTTTACAAATTAGAAATTTACAATTACAAATTTATCACTAGAAATTCTGCTGGCTGACATTTACCTGTGGGAAATCATGGAAAAGCCTGAAAAGGCAGTCAGTTTCCAGACCAAAATTCTGGTACTCACAAACACCTTTCACTACAATGTAAGCAAGGAAAAGAAACTACTATACATTTCTATGTATGCTCTGATGTGTATATTTAAGTAAATATTTATATCAGGAAACATTAAAAATCCTTATTCATAATCCATAATTTGCATTTCAAATGTAAAGTCTTAGGTAGATACCATATCATTATCATCCTACCATTAACTGGGGACAAATGTTTTCTCCCTTATTGCTTTCTGGAATCCTGCTATTCTTCATCCAGCACAATTCCAACCTAGATGATTCTGTGATTCTGTGATCCTATGATGTGCAATTGAATTAAGAACCATGTGGCATATTTGAAGAAAATGGTCTGAAAAAGCCTGATATTAAAGGGGATGTTTATTGTAGGAGATAAATGTTCTCTCCAGTCTCAGTTACCTTCAAAACTAAGTTAAAGGCAGTCATATCAAATACAAGCAAACTTTGCTGAGTGACTGCCAGCATGTCAATGGTCTTGTTGCCCCTACAGGCAGGACTGAGCCTTGCCAGCCATGCTTCAGGGATTGTCTGGCTTTATTTAGTCATGATTTTTCTTTCCTTCTTTTAACTTAGAAGTGTTGGGGAAATGCTTTAATCTACAAGTGCTCTAGGGCTGTAAATCAAGCTTTGGCACTAGTTCTGCTAAAAGGATCTTTTCAAGGGGTAGTGGCACAGTTCTGGTCTTCTTCCTTCTTGCATTGTAATAGAAATGATAAAATTGGGACAATAAATGAAAGCAAAGTTAATTCACACTCCGTGAATTGTGGAGAAATATATTATTATTCACTTGCTTCACTAGTAAATTTCAATTTGCAGATCTGCAAGAAGGAGGGGTGGGAACTGTCCAGGCATCTGTAACTAATACCTACTTGTGTTAGAGGTTAACTGTCAGGTTGCCTTAAAATATCTGCAATTTGTAATGTTTATTAAAGGAGAATGAGGCTCTGGGTTCTTATTTTAGATGTGATTATCTACCAAAATTCTTTATTTTAGTACCTAAAAATAATAAGTACTTTAGGTACTATTTTAGTACCTAAAATTCTTTATGTTAGTACCTAGTACTAACAATTAAGCTATGAGCTTTATAAAACATGTACTTTCTTACCAAGTTTACCAAGATGTTCAAGGGACTGGAGCACCTCTCCTGTGAGGAGAGGCTGAGAAAGCTGGGACTGTTCAGCCTGGAGAAAAGGAGACTCGGGGGGGGGGGGCTTACCTATCTCTGTAAATACCTGAAGGGAGGGTGCAAAGAAGATGGAGCCATGCTCTTTTCCACAGTGCCAGGAATGCCAGGACAAGAGGCAATGGGCACAAACTGGAACACAAGCGGTTCCATCTAAACATCAGGAATCACTTCCCTACTGTACAAGTGACAGAGCACTGGCACAGGTTGCCCAGGGAGGCTGTGGGCAATGTTCAAAAGCTGTCTGGACATAGTCCTTGGCAGCCTGCTCTAGGTGTTCCTGCTAGAGCAGTGGGATTGGACCAGATGACCTCCAGAGCTCCCTTCTAACCTAAACCATTCTGTGATTGTGTGAGTAAAATTCAATATATCCTCATACACAGTAGTGTATGTGCACACATATCACAAAATTTCTAGGTTGGAAGAGACCTCAAGATCATCGAGTCCAACCTCTGACCTAACGCTAACAGTCCCCACTAAACCATATCCCTAAGCATATGTGCACATGTAGGTAGTTTCTAATTACAAAGAAAATAAGTCAGGCTTTGCTGTGTGTAGACACCAAGATTTGGCTGAACTAAAGCATGGGAAAATGAAAGCTGAAGCTAACACCTCTCGGCAGCTTCTTTGTGTTTATCGGACTACAACGTCATCTGAAGATCTCAACTGCATGAGAGCATCTCTCAGGAAGCTCAGTCCAAAATAGTTTTGTTCAGTTTCCTATTCCCTGAATATATTGTGTTGTTCTTCTACAAAGAAACAATCACATCTTTTCCTGTAAGTACTCTTCCTCCTTATTCTGTTTATTACATATGACTACCTTCTTCCCAAATGCAATTTGCTCTTACAGAACACTATATATCATTTTCTCATGGAATGACTCCTACAGCTTGGCTCACCAGTGAATATGGCACATAAAATACCTCTCAGAAACCAAAACTGGGAAGATATAGCAGTATGAATAGTAATCAGTGCCCTTCACCAGTGCAATTACATTCTCACACTACATAAATTGTAACAAGTGAATCAAACTGCTTTCTCAGTCACTGTTAAATAACTAAAACATCAAAAACTCATACTCCTGTCAAGTATTTTGTTTTGGCCCAATACTCCTGAATGCAAAATAATAATAATGCTCACAGAATCACTTTTTTTTTTTCTCCAAGAAGTCTCCATCTATGTAGCCTAGCCTCCATCCTGTGTCCATAAATGTACCATTGTACCCAT